AAGCCTTGATTCTTGGCTGGGCATGATGGTTCATGCCTGTAATCCCAGCACTTTGGGAAGCCGAGGCAGGTGGATAACCTGAGGTCAGGAGTTCGAAACCAGCCTGGCCAACATGGCGAAATCCCGTCTGTACTAAAAATACAAAAATTAGCTAGGTGTGGAAGTGGACACCTGTAATTCAAGCCACTCAGGGAGGCTAAGACATGAGAATCACTTGAACTTGGGAGGCAGAAGTTGCAGTGAACTGAGATTGGGCCACTGCACTCCAGCCTGGTGATAGAGCAAGACTCTGTCACAAAAAAAGAAAAAAAAAAGTTTGATTCTTTTATTTCCAATTATTACTTTTTTCTTTTTTTTTTTTAAGAGAGATGAGGTCTCACTATGTTGCCCAGGCTGGTGTTGAATTTCTGGGCTCAAACAATCCTCCTGCCTCAACTTTCCAAAGTTCTGGAATTAGAACACCTGGCAGCTTGATTCCTTTGAAATCAGTTTTGATTGATTTACAGTTGTCCATGGTTTCTAGTGAACTGTCAGTTTCTTGGCCTTTTATTCTGCGGCGAAGGCAGTGTAATGGAAAGAACATTGAGTTAGTCTGGGGTGTTTTCCAAGACCAACAACCAGTTCTCTGTGGACATTAAATGAATATCCTAAAATTCAATTTGATTCTGATGATAACTACTGTCAACTGAGAATGACGAGGCCCATACATGTGGAAAGGAGAGCTTTCCTTCTCATAAAGGGTTGCAGCCTGCAGACTGGCCATTCTCACAGGCTGGGAAGTGTAGGCGCTGGCCAGTCGGACGCCACAAACAGCTTCAAGGGAGTGGCAAAGGGCTCAGGAATTTATGCGGAGTGAGTGGGCTGGCTGAATATACATATTCAATAAGCTAGAGCTGGAGTTATGAATATTTAGGAAAGGAGAAACATGAGCTTCATGCCCCTTCATGGGTCCTATGCACAAAACCGGTGGTGATAGCATGATCTGAGGGTAGAGTTTTTGGCCCTCTGACCTCAAAAGTCGAAGCAGAGGACACAGAAACCCTTACTGCACCTTCTTTGTAGATTGGCCAGAACCACTCCATGGTCAGTGGTCTCTTATCATGGGGGAAGCCCCAGGTGGTTGGTTGATATCAGAGCCTTTTGGAAGGGCTGGTTTCTGTTAAACCCTTAGGAAAGAAAGCCTTATCGTGGTTAGCTAGGGAGAAGGTATAATGAGGTGTGTCTAACCTCCTATCCCACCATGACAGAGAACTCAGTTTTCAAAGTTAATCTGGGATCTCTTTCACCAAGATAGGGTCTGTTTCACCCATTGGGCAGTTTAAGATTTTATTTTTATTTCTCGCTGTTCAAAGCTGTTACGAGCATAGACACCACAGGTTAAGGACTCAGACCCACAAGACTTCTCCCACTTCACATATCAATTGCAAGTCTCAGGTTCCGGCACTTCTGACTGTCCTTGCTGTAAAATCAAGAGCTACTATGATCTCCTCCTCCTGTTCGATAATTTAATATAATGGCTCACAGAACTCAGGGGAACACCTTACTTATGTTTATCAGTTTATTGTAAAGGCTGCAACTCAGGAAGTCAAATGGAAGAGATGCATAGCACGAGGTATGGGGATCAGGGAAAGCTTCCATGCCCTCTCCAGACACACCCCCCTCCTAGCACCTCAGTGTATTCACCAGCCCAGAAGAGCATCAGATCTCATTGCTCAAGAGTTATTGTTTTTTTTCTAAGACGGAGTTTCACTCTTGTTACCCAGGCTGGAGTGCAATGGTGCGATCTTGGCTCACCACAACCTCTGCCTCCTGGGTTCAAGTGATTCTCCTGTCTCAGCCTCCTGAGTAGCTGAGGTTATAGGCATGTGCCACCATGCCCAGCTAATTTTGTATTTTTAGTGGAGATGGGGCTTCTCCATGTTGGCCAGGCTGGTCTCGAACTCCTGACCTCAAGTGACCTGCCTGCCTTGGCCTCCCAAAGTGCTGGGATTACTGGGGTGAGCCACCGCACCGGCCTATGTTTTTTTTAAATAGAGTTTACTCTCCAGCACTGCCCTTCCCTTCCTGGAGGTCAGTAAGTGAGGCTAATAGTTTCAACCCTCTAATCATTTGGTCTTTTTGATGACCAGCCCCATCCTGAGGCTACCTAGGGGCTCTGCCCTCAGTCACTCATTAGTATAAGCTCAGATGTGATCAAAAGTGACTCCTCACAAATAATAAGACACTCCTAATACTTAGGAAATGCCAGGAGTTTTTTGTTTGTTTTTTTAAGATGCAGTCTCACTTCATGGCCCAGGCTGGCATGCAGTGGTGTGATCTCGGCTTATTGCAACTTCCGCCTCCCTGATTCAAGCCTCAACCCTTGAGTAGCTGGGATTACAGGTATGCACCTCCATGCCTGGCTAATTTTTTTTTTTTTTTTTTTTTTTTTTTTTTTTTTTGAGAAGGAGTTTTGTTCTTTTTGCCCAGGCTGGAGTGCAGTGACACGTTCTTGGCTCACCACAACCTCTGCCTCCCAGGTTGAAGTGATTCTCCTGCCTCAGCCTCCCAAGTAGCTGGGATTACAGGAGCCTACCACCATGCCCATTTTTTTGTATTTTTAGTAGAGATGGGATTTCACAATGTTGGCCAGGATGGTCTTGAACTCTTGACCTCAGATGATCCTACCCGCCTCGACCTCCCAAGATACTAGGATTGCAGACAAGAGTCACCACCTCAGGCTAAGGAAATGCCAGGAGGTTTTAGGAGCCTTGTGCCAGGAACCAGAGACAAAGATCAAATATACATACCACAGTTAGGAAAACCAGAGTTCAAGTCAGCCTCTGTGTAAACCTGGACGAGCGTCTCAATCTTTTGGGTCCTAGTTTCCTCAGCCTTATGATTTACAGTTGAGTTAGGCAAGGGGTCTAAAGCCGAATGTCTGCAGTGGCCAGACATGTGACATAAATGAAATGATCTTGACTTCAGAAAAAAGGAGGCAGAGTCTGTTCTGCTTTCCCCCTAACTCAGGCTTAAGAAGACCACAGCGTGTGGCTTGGTGCTGTGTCTCACATCTGTAATCCCAGCACTTTGGGAGGCTGAGGTGGGCAGATGACCTGATGTCAGGAGTTCAAGACCAGTCTGGTCAATGTGGTGAAACCCCATCTCTATTAAAAACACAAAAATTTAGCCAGGTGTGGTGATGGGTGCCTGTAGTCTCAGATGCTTGGGAGGCTGAGGCAGGATAATCTTTTGAACCCAGGAGGTGCAGGCTGCAGTGAGCCAGGATCACACCACTGCGTTCTAGCTTGGATAGCAGAGTGAAACTCCATCTCCAAAAAAAAAAAAAAAAAAAAAAAAAAAAAGAAGAAGAAGAAGAGAAGAAAAACAACAGTGCAAGTCCAATAATAAACGGTCACCAATGCTCTGCTTCAAATCCATGGGAGTCACAAAGAGCAGTGGGGACTAAAGGGAAGAGGACACCTTCCAGGTGGGGCTGCCATAGCTTATCTGTAGCTAGGACGGTGGGCCAAATGCTCCTACACCCTCTGAGTTCTCAACAGAATTTAGAAATATGGATTGCTTTTCCGATGTGAAATCTTCTGAAGTGTAAATTTTGGGCAACTAATTCAAAACTTAAAAAACAATCTCTGTGCCTTGCACTCCTGCAGGGGCCAAACTAAAACAAGTGTGGTTTGTCAGGCCACTGTTTAAGATTGCTAGTAACCGGCCGGGCGCGGTGGCTCAGCCTGTAGTCCCAGCACTTTGGGAGGCCGAGGCGGGTGGATCACGAGGTCGAGAGATCGAGACCATCCTGGTCAACATGGTGAAACCCTGTCTCTACTAAAAATACAAAAAAACTAGCTGGGCATGGTGGTGCGTGCTTGTAATCCCAGCTACTTAGGAGGCTGAGGCAGGAGAATTGCCTGAGCCCAGGAGGCGGAGGTTGCGGTGAGCCGAGATCGCGCCATTGCACTCCAGCCTGGGTAACAAGAGCGAAACTCCGTCTCAAAAAAAAAAAAAAAAAAAAAAATTGCTAGTAACCACAAAGTTACTAGAGCAATGCTTCTAAAACACATTTCTGGACTCATTGAGAACTTCAGCAGGCCCAGCCTCTTGAAATCACCTGCTAAGCTTTGTGAGTATGCATTTTTGAGAAGAGACCATTCCTAAGTTCCATTAGTATCTTTTTTTTTTTTTTTTTTTAGACTGAGTCTTGCTCTGTGGCTCAGGCTGCAGTGCAGTTGCACAATCTCGGCTCACTACAACCTCCCCCTCCCAGGTTCAAGCGATTCTCCTGCCTCAGTCTCCCAAGTAGCTGGGATTACAGGCATCTGCCACCATGCCTGGCTAATTTTTGTGTTTTTAGTAGAGAAGGGGTTTTACCACATTGGTCTGGCTGGTCTCAAACTCCTGACTTCATGTGATACGCCTGCCTCGATCTCCCAAAGTGCTGGGTTACAAGTGTGAGCCACCATGCCAGGCCCCATTAGTGTTTTAAGGAACTCACAATCAGCAAACTTTTTAGCCCCATCAATTAGCCTTGCACAGGTTTTCAGCACTAACTCCAGAAAGCCAAGCAATTAATTATGATGTAATCAGACACTTGGTTCATTCACTCGCTTATTCCATAACAGTTAGTCAGCATGTACTATGTATGAGGCATGTTTGAGGCACTGGGAATGTAGAAACAAATGAAAGAGACAAAATATTTTTTAAAATATATATATATATATTTTGAGATAGAGTTTCCCTCTTGTTGCCCAGGCTGGAGTGCAATGGTGCAATCTTGGCTCACCTCAACCTCTGCCTCCAGGATTCAAGTGATTCTCCTGCCTCAGCCTCCCAAGTAGCTGGGATTACAGGCATGTACCAGCACGCCTGGCTAATCTTGTATTTTTAGTAGAAATGGGGTTTCTCCATGTTGGTCAGGTTGGTCTCAAACTCCCGACCTCAGGTGATTCGCCCACCTCAGCCTCCCAAAGTGCTGGGATTACAGGCCTGAGCCACTGCTCCTGGCCGAGGCAAAGTTTCTATTCTCATCAAATAACATTCTAGTGGTGGGACACAGATAATATCTATAAAAGCAAAGAAGTACATATTATGTCAGGTGGATGATGAGGACCATGGAAGTTAAGAGTCTCAGGGTGGGGCAGAGGTAGGGTGAAGAGTAAAGGCCTCTTGGTTAAGATTTTACCTGAGCAGATACCTAAGTAAAGGAGCAAGCCACTTAATCACCAGGAGGGAGCATTTCAGAGCAAAAGCAAAGGTCCCCAAGCAGATGTGTAAAGTGGTCTGTTGGTGGAGTTCAAAGTCAACTATACCTACTCGGGGATCACAGGGAGGTGTTCTGAGTTTTTTTTTTTATAAGACAAAGAATTCCTTCAAATTGTTTGCAATAATTGTATCTCTTTAAATGATAAAGCCAAGTTTAGAAGAAGATCTTAGAAAAGAGGTTCACACCCACTAATGGCTCATGCTGTAAACTGGCTCTGTCTTTCCTGAGAGCTGTCTAGTAAATTTAACAAGAGCTATACAATTGTTCACACTTGTTGATTTGGCTACTTCACTTTGTGGGATATTTCTACAAGGCAAAAGAGAGAAAAAAGACAGCAATAAAGATATCTACTAAGTCCTTAGCAAGAACTTGTATACTACATTTGGAAAATTTCAAGCAATTTTAACCCTCAAAAATGGAAACAAAGCCAGGTGCAGTGGCTCAAGACTGTCATCCCAGCACTTTGGGAATCTGAGGCAGGAGAATAACTTGAGGCCAGGAGTTCAAGACCAGCCTGGGAAACATGGCAAGACTCTGTGTCTACAAAAAATAAAAAAATTAGCTAGGCATGGTGGCTCACACGTGTAGTCCTGGCTTCTGGGGCGGTGGAGACAAGGGGATCACTTGAGCTCAGTTCAAGGTTATGGTGAGGTATGATCATGTCACTATTGCACTCTAGCCCGGGGAACAGAGCAAGACCTTATCTTAGGAAAAAAAAAAAAAAAAAAAAGGAAATAAGTAAAAATAAAACATGGGCCGGGCGCGGTGGCTCATGCCTGTAATCCCAGCACTTTGGGAGGCCGAGGCAGGTGGATCATGAGATCAAGAGATCGAGACCATCCTGGTCAACATGGTGAAACCCCGTCTCTACTAAAAATACAAAAGATTAGCTGGGCATGGTGGCGCGTGCCTGTAATCCCAGCTACTCAGGAGGCTGAGGCAGGAGAATTGCCTACCCAGGAGGCGGAGGTTGCGGTGAGCTGAGATCGTGCCATTGCACTCCAGCATGGGTAACAGAGCGTAACTCCATCTCAAAATAAAATAAAATAAAATAAAAATAAAACATGATTTTCAATTTGCTTAGATTCTATAAGGCAGTTTAAATGACACATAGGAGCAATACTAATACATGGAAATGTATTATATGAAAAATGTAAAGTAGAAAAAACTAAGATACAGACCTGTGTATTTATGCTGATTAAAATTGTGGAACATACCAATGCATATTAAAGAGACCAAAAGAGAATTTGGAGGGATATGAAGTATCTATTGTCTAGCCAGCTTTTGTCTTAGTCTGTTTTGTGTTACTGTAACAGAATACCACAGACTGGATCATTTATAAAGAACATATTTTTTTCTTACAGTTCTGGAGACTGAGAGGTTGGAGGGACCAGCATCTGGTGAGGGCCTTCTTGCTTCATCATTTCAAGGTGGAAAGAGGAAAAGCAAGAAAGCCCAAGAGAGAGCAAGAGGAGGCTGAACTGGCTTTTATGACAAACCTATTCTCTCAATAATGAACCCACTCTTGAAATAACATTCCTCCATTCATTAGGACAGTGCTCTCATGACCTAATTACCTCTTAAAGGCCCCACTTCTTAACACTGTTGCATTGGGGGCTTATGTTTCCGACACATGAATTTGGGGGACATACTCAAACCAAAACAGCTTCCATTTTGGATGGAGTTGCTTACATTCATAATGAATCTTTACTTTTTTTCCCTCTTGTTGGATTACATGGCAGATTTTTTAAAAGTGAGGTTTTATTTCCTATAAAGTACAACCCCTTGATGATGATGATGCTGTAAATGACAGAGCTGTTTGCAGGCACTGAGCTTGCCGTGCAAGGGTGAGAAATTCGCAAACCAGGTCCACAGGAGACACCATCTGGCTAGCGCTATAGCTGGAGCTATTGGACAGCAAAGTGCTTTTGCTGTAGTTTTAGTATCAGCACTAGAGAACAGATACGCTGACTGGGACAGAAGACCAACAGCAGCTCGAGTGGAGGCAGCTAGCTCTGAAGCTCACATTTCCATTGTGGCAGGGTGTAGAAGAGCTGAGGCAATTCCCTGCTGAGACAGTTTCCATACTCTTCTAGATGTAGCCTGGCATCCATATCATGCTTGTCTCTTTGTGGGAAGAGGAATGCCCCAGCTCATAGAAGGTTCCAAAGCAAAACACTATTTAGCCCAGACTGAACATTGAGACTTTTTTTGAGACTAGATCTCACTCTGTCACTCAGGCTGGAGTGCAGTGGTGTGATCACAGCTCACTGCAGCTTTAACCTTCTGGGCTCAAGCTATCCTCCCACCTCAACCTTCTGAGTAGCTAAGTCTACAGGTGTGCACCATGATGCCAGCTAATTTTTTGATTGCTTTTGTAGAGATGAGGTCTCACTATGTTGCCCAATCTGGTCTCAAACTCCTAAGCTCAAGTGATTCTCCCACCTCGGCCTCCCTAAGTGCTGGGATTACAGGGTCAGCTATCTCACCTGGCCTAAGACATATGGTTGTCATTCAGGTCAATGACCACCTTCAGAAAGCTGCCTTCGCTGGCCATCCAATCTGAAGTTGCAGCAACCCAGTGATGCAGGATGCATCATCCTGTTTTGTGCTCTGCATACCCTGCTTTCCATCTTACAGATTTCATTGGTCTATTTGTTTACTTGTTTATTGTCTGTCTTTCCCCATTCTGAGGTAGGCTCCTTGAGGGAAGGAACCGCGTCTACATTATTCCCCCTGGTGCCTAGGAATGTTTCTGGTTCATTTTAGTTCCTTAGTATATATATTTTTAGTGACTGAATAAACAAACTTGCACCAATCAGCAATCTGAGGTCTCTGGACCTCTGTGGTGTTATGGCTAAAGCCACCCTGTACAAAGGATTTCCCACTGAAAAATGAGACCAAAAAAAACCTGGCTGCTACACTCATTAGAATCTCAACAGGAGCATCACATTTCCTGGGGCCCCAGGTAAATGCTCGGGAGAAAGAGGATGACTGCCACTGCCTTGCTTCTCTTTGGAGAGTTCCCCATATTCCCATATCCCCACTTCTTCCTTTTCTCTTCCTGGCCCTTGCTTCTCTGCGGAATGAGGGATAGAAGGTAAGTAAGTCATAGCAGACAGACAGGAAACCTCCTGTATTTTTCTCTAGCAGCTATAAGGCCCCTAGAGAGGAAAATCACAGGTATGGAGGGTGGGATGGAGGAAATGGTCACTTAGGACATGCAGATTTGCGATTGTTTAATTCTTGCGTCATTTTAAACACACAGTGGACAAAATAGCTCAAGATGAAGGATGTAACATGCCTCCCTGAGTCCAGAAAACCAGAACCTAGCATCTGAACAGCATCTTAAGGCTCTTGAAATGCCATTATCAACATGAAGTTGGTTTCTGTTGGGTGGACATGGAAGAACTGTCTCACTTGTACTTGCTATAGCAAGTCTTCAACTGAATACCTGGGGTTATTACTCTGGAATGTCTGATACACTGCTTCACTGTGTGAGGATTTTAAAAATGTAGCCATTGATGGCCCAGCATGGTGGCTCCTGCCTATAATTCCAAGTACTTTGGGAGGCCACGGTGGGAGGATTGCTTGAGGTCAGGAGTTTGAGGCTGCAGTGAGCTATGACTGTGCCACTGCACTCCAGCCTGGTGATAAAGTGAGACCTTGCCTAAAAGAAAAAAAGAAATGTAGCCATTGAAATGAAGAATAAAAATCCATTTCTTTTTATGTGTTCTTGTGGAGAGCCAAGACTTTCAAGGATTTATTCTAGTAAGTCATTTTCTGACAATCTAAACTGAATTGTTTAAAATATACATGTCTTTGGTGATAATCACTGAATTTTTTTTTTTTTTTTTTTTTGAGATGGAGTCTTGCTCCATCTGTAGTGCCCAGGCTGGAGTGCAGTGGTGCCGTCTCAACTCACTGCAACATCTTCCTCCTGGGTTCAAGCGATTCTCCTGCCTGAACCTCCCACGTAGCTGGGATTATAGGTGTGTGCCATGATGCCTGGCTAATTTTTGTATTTTTAGTAGAGACAGGGATTTTGCCATGTAGGCCAGGCTGGTCTCGAACTTCTGACCTCAGGTGATCTCTCTGCCCCAGCCTTCCACATTGCTGGGATTACAGGAGTGCGCCACTGTGCTCGGCCTAATCACTGAAATTTATTGAGGGCTTACTCTGTGCCTGACACTGTTCCAAGTGTTTTACATTAACTCAACAACCACAAGAGGTAGGTACTAATTGTCGTCTTCTTTTTTTTTTGAGACAGCGTTTTTCTCTCGTTGCCCACGCTGGAGTTTAATGGTGTGGTCTCAGCTCACCACAACCTCCGCCTCCCAGGTTAAAGTGATTCCTCTGCCTCAGCCTCCTGAGTAGCTGGGATTACAGGCACGTGTCACCATGCCTGGCTAATTTTGTATTTTCAGTAGAGACGGGGTTTCTCCGTGTTGGTCAGGCTGGTCTCAAACTCCCGAACTTAGGTGATCTGCCTGACTCGGCCTCCCAAATTGCTGGGATTACAGGTGTGAGCCACTGTGCTCGGCCTACTGTTCTTCTATTTTATTGATGAAACAAGCGAGGGACAGAGCAGTTAAGCAACTTTCCAAGGTCAATCAGTTAGACATGATAGAGCACAGAAATGGACCCAGAAAATGTGGCTCTAGCATCCATGTTCTTAACCATTATTGCTCTACTGCCTAAATTAGAACTGGTGGCCCCTAAATATTTAGCTTTATTATATAGAGTCACATTGCTCATGTATGACCTGCTCTGCTACAGCTAGCTGCTGAATTAAGTGACTGAGCAGTGAAACCAAATGCTGACATGGATGTGGAGCAACAGAACTCATTCATTGTTGGTGAGAATGCAAAATGGTACCGCTTTGGAAGGCAGATTGGTGGTTTCTTGCAAGCAAAACATATCCTTATGAATAATCCAGCAATCATGTACCTTGGTATTTACCCAAAGGAAAACTTTTTTTTTTTTTTTTTTTTGGAGACAGAGTCCCACTCTGTTGCAGGCTGGAGTGCAGTGGCACAATCTCAGCTCACTGTAACCTCCGCCTCCCAGATTCAAGCAATTCTCCTGCCTCAGCCTCCCGAGTAGCTGGGACTTCAGATTCATGCCACCACACCCAGCTAATTTTTGTATTTTTAGTAGAGACGGGGTTTCACCATGTTGACCAGGACGATCTCAATCTCTTGACCCCGTGATCCGCCCGCCTCGGCCTCCCAAAGTGCTGGGATTACAGGCTTAAGCCACCGCACCCGGCCAGGAAAACTTTTATGTCCATATAGAAACCTGCCTATGGGTGTTTATAGCAGCTTTACTTATAACTGCCAAACTTTGGAGGCAACCAAGATGTCTCTTAGTAGGTCAGTAGATAAACGGATGCACTGTTGTACAACCCGACAGTGGAAAGCTATTCAGGGCTAAAAAGAAATGTGCTATCAAGCCATGAATATACATGGAGTAATATGCATGGAGGAATCTTATATGCATATTACTAACTGAAAAAAGCCAACCTGAGAAGGCTACGT